GTCTCAATCGCCTCGAGGTTCTGATGGATGTCAAAGTACAGTTCCTCTACCGGCTTCTTAACCCTGAAAAAATACGATTTATTTATATTATATCCGTCGAAACTGTTTCGATTGCGTGTAAAACGCAAATACCGGTGACAATTATATCAATGAATCACTGAAAATCAGCGATGACACCGGGTGTTCGCGAAAAGGGTAAGCATATCTGTATTTATTTTGTGTGTGTGTGGGTGTGGTGGTGAGGTGGGGGTGGGGGTGGGGGGTTGTTTGAAGTATTGTTCCATCCCACGGTCACATTGATATTTTCTGAAGCTGAAGTCGTAAGCTGAAGTGTAAATTCCAAACTATTAAACACATTACAACTGAAAAATATGGACCTAACCTATTTCGTCGCTCTTTCCTCGATACTCCCCTGCTGGTTCCTTAATAGAACAGGTCCCCGGTAGGCTAAAGTGATCGTAAGAGGACACCTGATGGATCACGTACGGTGATGTGATTGACTTGCGCATCATCGTATTCCGACGGCGAGTGTCGTTGCTCATAAAAAAACACTGGTCTACTGGTCCAGACCCGATTATTTACAGAAAAAAATATAGAAAGAAAAAGGTTAATTAATCATACACTTTCATTATATTTCTGGACATCATTTGAACTAAACCGTTTATATAGATAATGATCCCTTGAACTTTTAAATTATTTGCAATCCCAATATTTAATACCTGAAAGTAGAATATATTTGATTATTGTTCATTTGGGATTTTATTCATTGCAACATTTGTCTCCTTGCAGCCGGAGTTGGAGGGGAGATGGGGCTGTTCCTTGGGGCCGGAATTCACACCATTGTCGAACTGATGGAGCTGGTGACTGCTTGTGTGCAAGCAGGCTTCGCGTCGCTCTGGGCAAGACGTAAACCTCGGACCTAGGAAGTAATAGGTTCTCCACCAAACCCACATATTTCGTAGAGTTGGTATTTCCTTTCGTGAAGCACCAGGTACAATAATAATCATTTATCAGTCAGATTCAGGGGCATATCCAAAGCGGGTATTTCAGCTTCAAAATGGCGGGTTTCCCCAGAAATGGACTTCACACATTGCACCCAATCGGTGTGACGAGGGAACGCTTTAACCACCTTTAACCTTTAATTCCCATCGCCCGGAATAAGCGCAGTATACAACAAAGGGAGTTAGGAATAAAACGTTCAATTAACATTCTGGTACCAAGTTGTTTGCGGTTGATGTGTCATACCATTCTATCTGTTAAGATTCTGGAGTCGAGGCATTTTTCGTTACTTTGATGATCTTCGTTACGTTCGATGTACGGCGTTGTGTGTTATCATTTGTTGTTAACAATAACTTCAATCCTTTGTTTAATCCTACAAATTATATATTTGACATTATAGTTTCAATTAGTAGGTTTCACTGGGCAGAATATTGTATGTCTGTATAATGAATGTGATGTAAAGTGATGTTCAATATATATAAATTATGTGTGTTTCATATTGAATCTGTCCTTTACCTTACATTGTGTGTGTCGTTATATCTATGTACATGTTGCAGTGAGTGAATTAATTGGGTTTAACGCCGCTTTTAACAGTGTTCCAGTCATCTCACGGCGTGTCAGCTTGATGTGGGAGGGAAACCAGAAATAATGTAGGTCTTAGATGTTTACCACTTTTGTGAAACCCACGAGAATGGTGGCCAACTAGTACTGTTACTCGAACCCACGGTAGGTTTCGAAACCTACGTACAGCGAATTGCGGCGCCTCAGACGACTGGGCGACCCGTGCCCCCTGTACATGTCGTAATATATATCTGTCATTGAATACTGACATCATGTTCACTAGTTTCATCATAGTAATTACCCAATTGGTATGCCTCAAATGAAATACCATTAGTTATAGAGGCCAAAGTTTCAACTAAATGTACCTTTGCCTAGCAACTCTACAAACATTCACCTATCTATTAGACAACTTCATACACACTCAGTTAAGTTCAGCGAAAAATACATTTAAAATAGATGATGATGATAGAGAAATCACATGACATAAACCATATAATGAGTGATGGAACAAAGCAAATATGTTTGACTTGTCTGACTGATTACACAGAGAGCAAACACATGGTCACGCACTGTTTTAAATGCAATCGTTAAGTACCAGGCTATCCATTATGGCCCTGGCATTGTTAATGACTGAACAATCATGATACTGGAAGTCTGCATTACTTCATCAAACAACAGCATTCATTATCACATATTAAACTCTCGGGTGTATTGAACACTTCAGTTGTTATTATCATGTCAGCCTATTCTGGGTCCAAACAGCAAGCAATGATTGAATCCTCCACAAGCGGCGTTTTGTAGACTGGCAGGATGAAGGTGGAGCCGGTAGTCACTCTAAAGGATGGTATAACATTGCGAGAAGAAATCCTGTCTCAGTGGCGGGATTTATGGCGTGACTTCCTGCGAGATACCAGTCTCCATGGCTGTAAGAATATTCCTTGTCAAAAGCGTCATAAAATAGTCAGGTAAGGCGAGCCACTCCTTGGTTTGGTATTAATTGTTCAAAACTAATACATCCATTCTCAAATACCACTGGACAAATGACGCTGAAGTAGTCCGGCACTGCAGCAATATTGAATGAAATATTGAATGGCTGTTACTCAGCTAGTAGTGAGGCTCAAAACCTGTATTTTTATGTTTTGTTGACAATACTTAAAATTTAACCTTTTATTTAACTTATGCACTTTGACCATGTTCTTAATTCTCTGAGAGCGTACTTCAGGTCTGTGAAGGTCATCTCCTAAGAAACCACAGGATCAGTAAATTTTAAAATTCACGTGCTTGTTCCGACCAATGATTACGCCTAAATTTGTTCAGTAGGTTCGAATACGATTTCCAATATGGCCGCTACGGCAGACTAATTGAAAACCTGATGCATCGTCACTGAACGTCCATCTTTTTAAAAATGTGCAGTTCGTTGCGCTTTGGTGTGTAATTAGTAGTAGCGATCAAGATACATATGCTCACCTTTTCGCAAACACCTAGTTATCATCACTATTTGATAATGATTGATAAACACATGCTCACGATATGGTCGGACTCGTACAATTAACTAGAAGATATCTATTATGAAATTTTGGGGGATTTGTCACTTATATTTACAAGGGGGAAGGGGTGATGTGGATGTGGTTAGAAGGTGCTAAAATCAGTTGTGCAAAGATGCGTCCTTTAGTCATGCCGGAAACTTAAAAACGCCAGTTCGAATCCAGTTCGCCCTTATTATGTTTCGAGGTTTAACAGCATCATACCCGTGACAGTTTACGACCTGCATCACTTCTGCCCCCCCCCCCCCCCCCCCTTCCCTCTGTCCCTCCACTGAGTATGTCCTAACGAGTATTTTAAAGTCAAAATAATGTTAAACACACATCCCGTTCTTCACTCTAATAACGCAAAGAAGCTAATCCATGAATTAGGGATGTAAATGCACGCACGCACGCACGCACGCACGCACGCACGCACGCACGCACACACACACAAAAAAAAATTCCCGGCAGCTTTGAGGTCATCGTTGTCGTCATACCGCTTTCCACGAAGGTGTTTTTTCAGTTGAGGAAAAAGTGGAAATCACTTTGTGCCAGGTCTAGCTGGTGAGGAGCGTGAGGACGCTCTTTGAATCCACACTGTCGAACAACAGCCTTTCCAAGTCAAGAAGTGTGAGAAGAGGCATTGTCATGAAGTAGTAGAACTCCAGAGACAGAAATCCTCGCCGCTTTTCTCTCAAGCTATGAATCAAATCGGCATATTAGGCTCCGATAATTGTCTTTTAACTTTCTAAGTAATTAACAAGGATCACAACCTTTGTGTCCCAGAATACAGTGGCTATTCTTTCATCACTGATCATGAAGACTTGAACTTCTTTGTTGTCAGAGAAGTGGAATGGTGCCATTCAATTGATTAACGGTTTATCAAATAGGTAGCCCCATGTTTCATCACTATTACAAATATCTTTTTTGAATTTGATGATAGCTGTAAATTGTCTCTGGTAATGTCAGCCACACGATGGCGGAAAGTGTACGGTAAACTACCATTCATACCTTGCTTTGCACCACTGTATCGTTGTGTGGTACATCATAACGAAATCTGTACATTTATGCGACAATTAACTGGTCCAACTGACAAATGCTACACACACAGACACTCTCAGCTCAACCCTACTAAGAGGTCATCTCTCCCTACGCCAGCCGTTACACAAAACTAACTGCCCCACTGCGTCAATCGATTGCATCACAATCTGTACATACAATGTACATACGCAACATAGAATGTAACTATTGCAAAGATACCTGAAAACCTCGAGCGTCAAAAGAAACCGGAATTAATATTGGTGTGGAATACAAAGGGAGATAACTTCGTAATGACATAATATATAGGACACAAGAACATATGGTCAGAATATAACTCTACAAATGTAATGACAAGGCAGACTCTAAACAAACTTGCGGACTCCGATGGTCCGATTGAATGCTGCGAAAGGTGAAATTATTGACATTGTGTTTGCAATTGTCTTCTTTCATAATAGCAGTTGGAACTATATATTTTGTTGTTAGTATCTGACTGACTTAGTCATTCCAGGAAAACTTGCAATGTTTAGCAACTGGTTAAGACAATAAAATTTAAGAATAAAATTTATATGATAAAGAGGCTAGATCCTGCTGGGCATAAACACGCTGTATATATTTAGCTCACCAAGGCTCCTTTATTACGATGTTTGTTCATTAAACATGATACTTTCCATACGGAAAAAAACCCTATGTACCTCTATACATCATGGGTACTGTGGTAATCCAGCCGGCAAAACCCTTGAGCAGTTGCTTCAACTGTTCCACTCTAATCCCAAAGTGAGATCGCTCCAAATCTTTTTGGAACGCGTGTCCGAAACAAAACAGTAAACCAATTCATATTCCTGTTTCAGAGTAGCATGGACTGTGTTGCTTTTGACAATGACGGGAATATGTCTGAAAACGTTGGCTGATCTTTACAGTACGTACTACAGCTACAACTTTATCACTAAGATTACAAGAGAGCGCAAAGAACAGATCAGGTTTCCTGCAATCACCATATGCAACCTGAACAGGTTTGACATAAGCCAACAGAACCTTACTGACACAGAGCTGAAGTACCTTCGCCGAAGTGGGGACCTACATTTCTTATCTCAGTCTATTGACTGGAAAGGGGAGGAAGGGAGAGAACTAGAGAAGATAGATAATGTCAAATTTTGGGAAGGTGGAGCATACAAAGAAGAAGCAATGTTCAAGTACATTTTTTTAAAAAGCATCAACGTCCCCCCAGAAGCCCTGAAATACAACCAAAAACAAGATCAACGCTGCTTCACCTTCAGCGCTAACGCCGATGAAGATACTTCAGAGTCTGAAGATGCACAATTGAATGTCGTTGTTAACATCATGCAAGAAACCTATCTAGAGGGAACAGTGTACGAGGCGGGTGTAAAGGTAAATATAATAAAAGCACAAAAAAGTGTCGAGAGGTTCCAAGGAAAATGACAATATATTATAGCTGTACATAATATAATACGTATAGTGTAGTATAACAATCTCTGACATTTCCCCGAGCAGCATTTAAGGATTACTCAATATATCCTAGCATCAGACAATTTACCTTTCTGAATGTGACAAAATGGATCAGATGGTGAGACTGGGTGTCTTAGTTGATAGCAACTCCACGTACCTAGACGTCGTGGATCGTTGCTCATAATACAAATCACTGGTTTGACTGGTCCAGACTCGATCATCTACAGGTCACATAACTGTCATATTACTGTGCTGCTTAAAACAATTAACCAAACAAAATTCTAACTCAACACAGAATCTTTTTAGACGGCTATTTCGTTTAAATACGAAGCTATGGAAGCATATAGGAATAAAATACATAGTGGGTATTCAAGGAAGCACCGACTCATTAACTTGGAATCCTTTGCCACATGTAATCTCCGTTTTGTTAAATCAGGTATATATTGATGAACCAGATACAGCTCCGAGCTACAGTGATGATGCAATGACGGGTGTACAAGTCGGGACGACGACACGCATAAAGCTGACCAAGAAGGAGGTACGTTTGTGTCAAGAACAAAATATATACCGAAAGGATTTGATCAATCAGTTACGTTTTATTAATGTGTATTTTTATAGTTCCAATGCAAGAATAAAGCAAATGCAAAAAAAGGTTGAAGTAATAAGTATATTTCACTTTTTGATGAAGACCTTTGGCTCCAGTGAGTGACCTTTGGCTCCAGGAATCCCTGAACCAAACTTTTAACAAGAAGACAAAGTCACCGATGTCCCGTTAAGTGTTAATACTTGCTGTGAATAAATATATGAAACTTTGTGCCATGGACAATCGAAAAATGTTCTTTTAAAAAATTCCAAACTATCAGAAGGCACCAGTTCACCACTCGACCTACCTGTGATTAAATATTGAACGGTATTCAAGATCTGCCTCGCAAACGACTTCTTGCACGGGCGCACGGACGCACAGTCTGACGGTGTCCATTTTTATACTCTTCGTAAAACGGGTTGTTGGGTTAAAATGGTCAACTTACATTTGTATATCCAAACAACAAATAGTAGCGCCCTGGGGATTCCCAGTTCGAACTGGTTCAAAGCAACAGATGGTTTTCCACCAAATTGATAGGTGGTCAGGTTCGGTGACTTGATGGATGGCGTATCAACGTTCCCAGACGCATCGACCTTTGCTCATACTACCAATGGCTGATTTGTCTGGTCGACGTTTTTACAGGCCGCTGTCGTATCACTGTAAAATTGCTTAATGTGACTTCAATCAACATGCAAACAAACGAAAACAATCAAGAGGAATACTGGACGATGTTTATCCCCGCAGTCAGCAATGTAAGAGGTATCTATGCACGGTCTGTGAACAACAGACCCTGGCATTCACCAGGCAACCGGCTGATTAAAACCTCTAGAAACGAGCCACGTCACGGAGGTTGAGTGGATTGTGTAAGGTCCATAGAGCTAGACATAAACACATTTCTTGACCCCTTTGTATGGTGCTGATTCCATATACTCAGATATATGTGCTGGATCCTAAAGTATATATGGTCGGCTTTTGAACAAACACGATATAACAACAAAAACTGTTAATTTGTTCACCACATTATATTCTCAATACTCCATTGTTATAAAAGCATTCAATGACGGGCATTTGGTGAAAATACCCAACAAGTGTATTGCGCTGAAAAATCTTGGAAACCAAGACGAGATATTCGAACCTAAGATTATGTTTCTGGTACGCCTCAGCGACACAACTCAAGCGACTTGAGGCGCTTTAGACGGATGGGCCACATTTGCCGCAGACAAACAACACGTCAAACATTAACAGTTACGCTTATCCATTAATTGACATTTTGTATGTGATGCCAACGTGGGAAAATACCCGATAACACTGCTGTATGCCCATAGATGAAGTACCTTCCAACCCCCTATAATTCCCGTGGAACGGATTGTCTGGACACTAAAGCCTCGGACTTTGTCAACTCCCTTGATTGGTTCAAGCACTACAGCTTTGATGGGTGTCTTCATAAGTGCTCCAATAAGGCTGCCATGAATGCCTGTAACTGCACAGCTGGATGGGAACCTCAACTAGGTTTTTGTTCTTTTCTCTTTTAACAGCAATGAACATGTTACATCCAGCGATACCAAATACACCTTTTCTATATTTTGGAATGCCCCTCTTGTATCATATGATATAAACAACACAGTTTCTGTTCATTGGGGCATTTTTTTTAATTGCTTGATTGTTTGATGGGAATCTCTTCAAGCTTTCAATGTACATTTGTTGTTCTGTTTTTGACAATAGCAATAGATTTATAACATCATACAATACAGATTCCACAGTCTCTGTCATTTTCAGATATTTTTGAAACTGTGGCATTTAAACACATTTGAATTGCTAAATTTCGGCTTATTCATAGTAGTAGAAGTTTTTACTGACTGATATATTTTCCAGCGAGGGTCAGTCTGCGGCACTGCTCTGTGAAGGAGTTGCAGACATGTTACCGTCCCAAAAGCAGTAAGATCATTTCCATTGTACTGACATTCCTTAAGAATTGACCTTAACTTCGTTTGTGTTCATTGGAGTATGAACATTCATAGAGTGAGGGCAAAACTGTATGAACGGAGGATAATTTTTATATCACCTGTTTTTACCTCAAAGTTTGTAAGGAAGAGAATTTATGGATGTCAACTTCTTTCTTATGAGGAACACAAAGCTGTATCGCGGAATGAAGAAGTTCTTCTAAAAGAGCGGTGAAATGATCGTATGTATACTCACTCTGTAGTACAGTGACATCTTTTGTAGCTTGTTTACAACTAATTAAAATAATATGATCTTCTTCGATGGGAATGGACTATTCAAAATTACCTCAGTAACTCAGCCACAATCACAATGACAGTACGTCGTTACACATTGACATCATGTATAAGACATCAAAATGGCAGACACGTTAACCGTTATGGGAGATATTTTTTGATGAACCTGTGGCAGTTACAAGTATTACCTATCATTGATCAATAGGCCGATCATTGAAAGGTGATTATAAAAATGTGTCAAATGTTAGTCTGGACACTAGTCGAGTGGATACTATGGTGCTGTGTGTATTTTTTCGTTTTGTTCAGTAGGATGGGTCGTAGCCAGTGCAGAAACAACTGTTTTGTATGTATTTGGGCTGTGGAATTCCAAGGGGTTTCCCAGGAAATGTGGAAGTAGTCCATCAGTGTTTACGTCATTTCCAGAAATTCAATAAAGTCTCGTGAAAAACGTTTGAACGTCAAACTATGTCGTCCATACGCTTATGAACGTCAGCTTCGTGGTCATGTGACCTGCCTATCGTCCAATGGAAAAGTCGTATATCATCTAAACTTCACATTAAAAAATTAAGTTCCTTTGTATTGTTTGACAGGCATTACTTAGAAGTTGACGGAAGACAATGCAAGCTTGCTTGACAACGGTATAAGGATCTATACAGAAACGTCATCTTGACAGTATTATAGAAGTTGTTATCCATAAATTGTGTCTACTTTGTATTGTGTTGAAATGCTCATGGCACAGGTACATTGTATTTTTTTTTTTCTTAATGAAAGCCACAAAATACTATCCATAATCATAAAAAGTCTCTGCTTGTACGATGTGTATCACGTGATGACCAATGAAGTCAATGTAAACTTACATAATGAAGGTAAGATATAGCTTACTTGGACCACATTACCAAAGACCATATGTTTTTTGCTCCTAAAGTTCTCTATGTTTAGATCAAGTACAATCGGAAGCCAGAAGCGGGAAGAGTTGTTTATGCCAGTACCAATGTGAGGAGACATCGTATGATATACAAGTGTCATCCATGACAATGCCGCAAAACGCCACATCCGTCGCTTCTTATGTGGATTCCACAACTGATATGTTAAGGTTAGAACGGATCTGGAGCTATTTGATATTCCTTTGAGAGTACTTATCACGATGCACATACATAATTCACTCGAAACCGTCAATGTGTGATTTTGCATCAAAATGTAAATATGAAATGTAGATTATGTCATGTCAGTCGATGCCCAGCTTTGGCATGAACACGATATCATAAGCGACATGGTGGAGTGGCTCGATCATTTTATTACTGTCGTCGCCATGCTTGTGGTTTTGACACAGAGGTCCATCCATGGTACGACCCGGAATTTTTAAGGGTGCATCATGGAAAATGATGAATTCAAAATTCTTTGGAATAGGCCCGTTTACAGCCTCAGAACAACAAACCCAATCTTGTCCTTTTTGATAAATCCAATGAAATAATTTATGTCATTGAATTTTCTCTCCCTTTTGACATTAATGTGATTGACAAGATTCAGGAAAAACATGGCAAATATGCAGACATCGCTTTCGAAATGTCACGCTTGCATCCCAAGTACCGAGTTGTCCGACTCCCCATTGTTCTCGGTGCCTTAAGTTCGGTACCTCCCAATCTGTAGACTGGCATTGGGAGAGTACCCGGGTTTGCTACTAGGAATACAGCCCTTTTGACAATCTGGGTAATGCAGAAGGCTGCAGTGTTGGGGAGTCATCACATTCTCTGAAAAGTTCTTGGTGGGTTTGACAAGGCAGCGCTTCCTTCGGAGAAGTCCCATTCGCTGTCTGGGCTGCGTGTAGAGGGGACAAGGGCCCTAAGCTGATGATGAGCCAAACAAGCCTGACTTTGCCAGGATCACCCAAACCCTCTTTGCTGCATTTTTTAAATTTTTAATCTGTAATCCAATAGAAATATCTGCATAAAGCAGAGTCGGTTGTACAATTCCGACTATATCATGAGCATTAGTTTATGAATCACCATCAAATAGTAATGATACCAGGCGGTCGCGAATAGGTTAGCGTATCCTGCCCGACTGGTGGCACATCACAAACACATGCAAATGCAAGTCAATTGTTCACCTGAAAAAACATGAGAACATGTGGTACAAGTCAAAATAGGGGAAAACTCTTTTTATCTCATTGTAACCCTGTGAGGGGTAGTCCTTTTATGTGAGACCTTCTCAGAGGTTTTACATTTAAGCTGTAAGACCTAGGTTTGACATTTTTACATTGAAGTTTTATCAACTGGCCTTTTGAAATGACCCTCGGAATTTTCCCTCGCTCGCGGTTTTACATTTTCAAATAAAATCTTGGCGTCTTGTTTTATCATTAGCTTCAACAATTCCGACTGCATTCATTGAAACAAAACATAACTCGACTGTATAGGTTTTCACAGTACATTCAAAATGTGAGCAGGTATTATGGAACGATTCTTCACTTGTGATCGATTTTTTTTATCCTCCAGACATAATTACCTGGTTCTAGAGATCAAAGTAGCCAGCATGGTAGTTGAAAGGACAGAGCACACGCCAGAATTGGAGCTGAATGATATATTTGGTCTGTATCAAATTTTCGTTATGTTTCTTATTTCAATAGATCACATGGGGAAAAGGTGGCCAAGATCGCTGAGGTGCTGCAATTCGCTGTGTAGAAACGGCGTTCCCTAGCTATGAGTATAGCATAGAGTTAGAATCATGCTCTTTACTTTTACCAAACTAATTACTTTCATCTTTGCTCTGACATCACGCTAACATGCTGTATACTAACTGTTCAAAACGGCGTAAACGCCAACTCATTCACTGACTCATTATATGTTAGAAAAAGCTATTCAAACATGGATATCTCCTAGCATTAACCAAAATATTGCATGATCATGTATGACAAGAGACCATAGATACTTCCAAGAAATTATGTTAGAAAAGAAACTGGTCTCATGTTTTCCAAAATACAAGAATAGTTCACTGGACATACTGACCAAATGTGTTGCGGGCAATTGCATTCACTTTCTCTTCCTTTCAGTTAAGAACATTGTATGTCTTGAAGCACTGTCATAATAAATATTCTGTCTGTGACAAAAAGTCGAAATGTATACCTTCACATGCTTGAAACAATTCTCTCTCTAATTTGAGGATAAAGATATTGTATATAAGTCGTATATCCTTGAGAAATGGAATGTGATTGATACACTGTAGGCATAATAAACTTAGTTGACTAAGACAGATTTATAATCACTACCAAAGTTCCCATTATAGGTGGTAGTTCTATATGTAAAAGTTGAGGGTGAAAATTGAAGACAATGCAGCAATTAAAAGACACTAAGCATACTCAATACGCACACTTTATGTCAACCTGACTTAATATTGTATACCTTTGCAGCCAGTATTGGTGGCCAGATTGGACTGTTTCTTGGGGCCAGTATCCTCACCATCACAGAACTGCTGGAACTGTTGATAACATGTGTGCTTGCAAGCCTGAAGTCGCTGTGGGCCAGACATAAACTTCAGGGTTGAGGAATACAATGAACCTCGGTAATCAAAATACTTCTTCCACCGAATTTTGATAATCCTATTCCAAATAATGTAAGTCAACCAATAAAGTCAACTGAATAGTGGATGAAAAGTGGTTATAAACCTGGTTCCATTGAATAAATATGCCATTCTTAAAAAAAGCGACAAGGCATTGTTTTGTGGTTACTGTGTCTTCAATAAGTACAATAAATATGGACTATATGGTATAAGAGACACACAAGGGTGGTAAAATATGTTTCAAACTGCTGTACATATCTTATGCATCAGTTACCAAACTAATGTCCCTTTGGGCTTTCAGAATAAACAACCACTCGTGTTCTTATTGTATCTAACATACGTTCTTCAAGTGCAAACTCTGAACCACACCATGATGATATTAGTACGCATGTTAGTGGACATGCCAATCCGTAACAACGGATTAAAGTCTGTTAACAAACACACTTAATAGCATTGACTTCCTGCTTTGGGTGGAAGATTCCCGATCGGAGGTTGCATACTATGACATCCGCACCTACCTATAAAAGCTTACTGCTAAAGATACTCTGGGAATCACTCCCAAGATGAAGATCGGCCTGTCCTATTGTCGGTCCCCGACGCTTGATAAAAGGCTTGAGTTGATGTCAAGCTGCTGAAGTTGGTGACACACCAGGTGGCTTCAGTTGATGTCTGTGAAACCTATTAAGTTTGATGATATTGTATACCTGTTGGATTTAATACCCTCTGTGATCAGGGCAGTCGTATTTTAGTACTGACGAGCTTACTATCAGCGTTTGTAACTTCTGCCTATTCACCTGTTAGATCGTTCACCAAGTGTCTGCATAATTTAAATATCAGTGCTTCAGCCTGGTTTATTGCCTGGTGTTATTAAATCCTTAAACTTCAATCTTTGTCAATTCGCCTTAATGTTATCGGTCTATATCTACATGTGGGTACATTGGGATGCCAGGAAGGATAGGTGTCATGCTACAGTTTAACACACAGTATCCAAGTATGATACCAGCTGGTTATACATGTGTGACCTGGTTCATTGTGACATAGCTGGAAAAATGCGGATATTAAACAGTGAGGAGGTATTTGTCCCATTACATCTATTCCAGTGACCTGACAAATCTGATATCTTTCTCTTAAGAGAATACTGTCAAAGTAGTTCCGACAAAATGTGTTTTTTCTCTCAAGTTGATTTTGATTTCATATTTTTCCGAGTAATACATTATATATGATGACGTCGTAAGAAAGAGATCAGTCAGAGGGATAAGACACATACATGTGTTTTGCTGTCAGCAATTGTTCAATGTATTGTTTGAAACAGATCCATGATAGTTCACCATATCAGTTGTAATAAAACCCCTACTCAAACGGATATTCTGAGGGTGTTTAGTGTCTCTGGAAGAGAATGGAGAGAGTGAATGTGTCAAAATGGCATGTCTTAGTGATTTGAAATATCGGTATAAATAATGGTTGAACCAAAGTTTTATTGTGATCATATTCTAAACATTCCAAACACTGTCATATTTCTTGATTAATGTTGTCAGCGAAAAGCCTTAAACACATCACTAATATGAAATGAGAAAATACGATTTATTTATATTTTCAACAATATATGTCAAAGAGTTGAACGAATGATTGTATCCTGCTCATATGATACAGACACTACCATCCTGCAACCTGAAACACATACATCAAAGAATGATCACTTCCAACTGCAGCAATTTCTTTCTCTTGGTAACATGTTCAAGAAAGACAAAGTGTTTTATTTTTTTACAGAATCAAATTTCCAGGTAATAGTGATGATAACAGATGTTCACAAGACACTGAGCGCATCCTACCCCACCGTTGGCACCTGTTACAAACATATGCAAAGGCAAGTCAAGTGTTCACCCGAAGAAACACGGGTACATTTCGTACAAGTCAAAGTAGGGAATCGCATCAGACAGCTTTCGCGCCACTGATGCGTCAATTTGGAAATGTCAACCGTAAAACGTTTTGAAAGCTCTACTGAGACAAGTGAAACAACCACCTCTATTTAATCTCAATCTATGCATATAGATACAGGAAACTATCCACAAGACTATATAACAATAGAAATGACTTCAACTTTCCAGTCGTCAACTTTCTCGTTTAGGTCGAGCAATATTCCAGCAGCCACAACCTTTGTTGTCTGCATTTCACAACTTCCTATTTACAATTAATCATGTACTTTCTCTGAAGATATCAAAAAGCATCTTACTACACTTGCTCAAAAGTCGTTTCATCAGGGTTACAACATTTAAGACCGAAGTAAAGTTTTCAATTCAATTGCTCCTTCCAATGAATCTGATGCATATTCACTGGTACCCAGTTGTTAGAATAATGTGTTAACATACAAAATTTATCAATCGTAATTACAATGCATACATTCTTTGAGGTCTTTGCTGACATAGCATTACATATTCGCATTGATAATAAACCAGCTACGATTTTAGTTTCAATGTACACCTTAAAGCATTATTCCATTAGCTTTAAATTTTAAGGAATGTTGTATATATGCCCGAATTATGTCGAGTTGCTGTGTTTGTTCACCTGAAATAGAAGACAAGTGTCATGACGATGAGTGCTGTGGTTTGTAGCTGTTTCGGATTGTCCAGTTCATAGCCTGATGGGATTATGATCTTCTTGACCACGGCCATGTTGCTGTTGTTGTTCTTTGCCTTGTTGAAACTGATATTTTTATATAATATCGGTGGTACATGAGTACAAAGGGAATATTACGGTAAACACAAACGGATATAATTGTTTGGAATATGACCTTCAATAAAGTGATGATTAGACCTATACAATTGTATCACTAATTCAGTGTATCGTCAAGGTCAGTATGACAGACACATATAAAACATGCAAATTTGCTTTTGGAATCAATTGTGAATAACATTTGATGACAGTGATTTATACCGAAATAAGGTATCAAACAAAATTTTGCCTAACAATGGTTCAATATAAGAGCTGTAATTACAACTCCATCCCACGCACACACGAGCAGCACCCTCACCTGACACAGGTCCTAATGTACATGCTCATCGTCTCAATCGCCTCGAGGTTCTGATGGATGTCAAAGTACAGCTCCTCTATCGGCTTCTCTACCCTGAAGAACGAAGCAATCTGTGTCCAGTCTACGCATCCACCACGCCACCGTAACAGCGGCATGTCTAAATATGTATAAAACGTTAACGACAGAGAATAACAAATCTCGATTATCCGCCGAAACTGTTTCGATTGCGTGTAAAATGCAAATAGCGGTGACAATTATATCAATGAATCACTGAAAATCAGCGATGACACCGGGTGTTTGCGAAAAGGGTAAGCATAACTGTATTTAATTTGTGTGTGTGTGTGTGTGGTGGTGGGGTGGGGGTGGGGGGTTGTCATGCGAAGATGCAGATTCCGTCGTTTTTCGGCAATACATCTGTGGTCAGAGGTTTTCCCCAGTGTGGAAAACATCTAAATTTTGAAATATTGTTCCATCCCACGGTCACGTTGATATTTTCCTTAAGCTGAAGTCGTAAGCTGAAGTGTAAATTCCAAACTATTTAACACATTACAACTGAAAAATATGGACCTAACCTATTTCGTCGCTCTTTCCTCGATACTCCCCTGCTGGTTCCTAAATAGAACACGTCCCCGGTTGGCTAAAGTGATCGTAAGAGGTCACCTAATGGATCACGTACGGTGATGTGATTGACTTGCGCATCATCGTATTCCGACCCGATTATTTACAGAAATAAATATAGAAAGAAAAAGGTTAATTAATCATACACTTTCTTTATATTTCTGGACATCATGTGAACTAAACTGTTTATATAGATAATGATCCCTTGAACTTTTAAATTATTTGCAATCCCAATATTTAATACCTGAAAGTAGAATATATTTGATTATTGTTCATTTGGGATTTTATTCACTGCGCCATTTGTCTCCTTGCAGCCAGAGTTGGAGGGGAGATGGGGCTGTTCCTTGGGGCCGAAATTCTCACCCTTGTCGAACTAATGGAGCTGGTGACTGCATGTGTGCATGCAGGCTTCGCGTCGCTCTGGGCAAGACGTAAACCTCGGACCTAGGAAGTAATAGGTTCTCCACCAAACCCACATATTTTGTAGAGTTGATATTTCCTTTCGTGAAGCTGTTTACGGTACTGCATCAGGTACAATAATAATCATTTATCAGTCAGATACAGGGCATATCCAAAGCGGGTATTTCAGCTTTACAATGGCGTGAGGATATGCTTGTTTATCAGGATAAAGCCAACGGATAAAAACGATATCCGTTGGGGTCACATGCGGATAGAGATGCAAATATCAAAGGTCAAGTTGGGACTACTTTCAGTGTTTATAAACAAACATGGCGTCGCACTTGTCATTCAGGGATCGAGTCAGAATTAACCTCCGGGAATCTGGATAAATTACAGGGATAATTGCTACAATTATCAAAAGAACAGTCTAATATACTGAAAATCAGTGTCTAACTGCGACGTAGCTAAGGCATTTTATAGGTTTGGGCAACTTTAGAGATATAAATTTCGAAACAATTTTGCGAGGGCACTAGGCCTAGCCATGCGGGATCTGTGCTTGTAGACCTCTGTGGTTTGAACCTTTTCCATAAATTAAAATAGTTGGATGCTACACGATGTAGCCGAAATAAGTTTGAATTGTTACCTTGTTTCGTTTTGTCGCTGTGTGTACATCTGACTGCACTACTTACGTTATGACAGGACAGACCAACTTTCAACAACGTCTGAATGTGGCCGTGACGTCTCATAGACTAGGGTTGGAGTAGCTTCCCAGTTACTCCAACGGACAGACCGATGGATTGCCGCGAAAGACAATTGAAAACAATTGCTTCGCTACTGTATAAGAAACAGATTTCAGTTGGAACTATATTGGCTACTGTCACTGTCCGACTGACACATCACTTACCCTGTGACGTAATAAATATTAATGCGCGCATTCCAGGAAAACTCGCAATGTTTCGGTAATGTATGTGAGAGAGGGGAAGCGAATTTCAAGCACAGAATTATGGAATGACATCATATGATAAAGAGGTTATCACGCTTGTGTGTTTGGGGATGGTAAATATCCTGTATTAGGAATAAACACTATGTATTTAGCTCGCCAAGGCTCGCTAAATACAATGTTTATTCCTAATGCAGGATATTTACCATCCCCAAACACACTCGCGTCATAACCTCTATTTGCGTAATTAGCAATATTCAAGTTAAATCACTGAGGCATGTGAACAATCAAGTTTAGGCCAGGTAATACAGTGGACAACACGAGGAACGATCTACGCCTTCGGGTCTGTTGCTACCTAATCAAGTAGGTCCCACATTTCACCAACTTGACCATCATCTTCGTCAGCTCTGACGGCAAGCTGGGACTGCTTGGGACCAATTCTGAATTGCGTTTACAGTAAACTACGTTTATAACGAACACGCTCATAACGAACTGACCGATATATCGAACTAATTTCTTAGTTCCGGACATTTGTTGTATATATGTTGTATGTATGCATATGTTGAACAACGGTTATTACGAACTAAAATTAGCGGTCCCTTTGAGTTCGTTATAACCGTAGTTTACTGTGTATGTTTTATAAAATGTGATACCTTAATAGGGGGAAGCTTCCCTTTCACAATCATCAACATTGTTCTGTGCTCGGGCTGTTGTGAATGTGTCCCCTGTAGAAAAACAGTGAGTGAGTATAATTTTACGCCGCTTTTAGCAATATTCCAGCAATATCACGGCGGGTTTACCCAGAAATGGGCTTCACGCATTGCACCCAATTGGAAAATCGAACCCGGACCTTCGGTGTGACGAGGGAACGCTTTAACCACTAGGCTATCCCACCGCCCGGAATAAGCGCAGTATACAACAAAGGTAGTTAGGAATAAGACGTACCATTCTGGTACCAAGTTGCTTGCGTTTGATGTGTCATACCTACGTGTAATTCTATCTGTTAAGATTCTGGAGTCAATAACTTCAAACCTTTGTTTAATCCTACAAATTATATTTTTGACATTATAGTTCAAATTAGTCGGTTTCACTGGGCAGAATATTGTATGTCTGTATAATGGATGTGATGTAAAGCGATGTTCAATACATATAAATTATGTGTATTTCATATTGAATCTGTCCTTTACCTTACATTGTGTGTGTCGTTATAACTATGTACATGTTGCAATGAGTGAATTAATTGGGTTTAACGCCGCTTTCAACAGTGTTCCAGTCATCTCACGGCGTGTCAGCTTGATGTGGGAGGATGTTTACCACTTTTGTGAAACCCACGAGTATGGTGGGCAACTGTTACTCGAACCCATGAGCATAGGTTTCTGGTGTTTCCAATGGACAATACTCTGTACAGCGAATTGCGGCGCCTCAGACGACTGGGCGACCCGTGCCCCCTGTACATGTCGTAATATATATCTGTCATTGAATACTGACATCATGTTCACTAGTTTCACCTTAATAATTACCCAATTTGTATGCCTCAAATGAAATACCATTAGTTAAAGAGGCCAAAGTTTCAACTCAATGTACCTTTGCCTAGCAACTCTACAAACATTCACCTATCTATTAGACAACTTCATACACATTCAGTCAAGTTCAGCGAAAAATACATTTAAAATAGAAGATGATGATAGAGAAATCACATGACATAAACCATATAATGAGTGATGGAACAAAGCAAACAAAAGGACGTTTTCCAATATGTTTGACATGTCTGACTATTACACAGAGAGCAAACACATGGTCACGCACTGTTTTAAATGCAATCGTTAAGTACCAGGCTATCCATTATGGCCCTGGCATTGTTAATGACTGAACAATCATGATACTGGAAGTCTGCATTACTTCATCAAACAACAGCATTCATTATCACATGTTAAACTCTCGGGTGTATTGAACACTTCAGTTGTAATTATCATGTCAGCCTATTCTGGGTCCAAACAGCAAGCACTAATTGAAACCTCCACAAGCGGCGTTTTGTAGACTGGCAGGATGAAGGTGGAGCCGGTAGTCACTCTAAAGGATGGTATGACATTGCGAGAAGAAATCCTGTCTCAGTGGCGGGATTTATGGCGTGACTTCCTGCGAGATACCAGTCTCCATGGCTGTAAGAATATTCCTTGTCAAAAGCGTCCTAAAATAGTCAGGTAAGGCGAGCCACTTTTTGGTTTGGTATTAATTGTTCAAATCTAATACATCCATTTTCAACTCATCTGAAAGTCAAGTGAGCTTATGAGATGGCTTCATGTCCGTTCGGTCAACGTCATCTTGGAACTTCTCAAATACCACTGGACAAATGACGCTGAAGTAGTCCGGCACTGCAGCAATATTGAATGAAATATTGAATGGCTATTACTCAGCTAGTAGTGTGGCTCAAAACCTGTATTTTTATGTTTTGTTGACGATACTTGAAATTTAACCCTTTATATATAACTTATGCACTTTGACCATGTTCTAAATTCTCTGAGAGCGTACTTCAGGTCTGTGAAGGTCATCTCCTAAGAAACCACAGGATCAGTAAAGTTGAAAATTCACCTGCTTGTTCCCACCAATGATTACGCCTACATTTGTCCAGTAGGTTCGAATACGATTTCCAATATGGCCGCTACGGCAGACTAATTGAAAACCTGATGCATCGTCACTGAACGTCCATCTTTTTAAAAATGTACAGTTCGTTGCAGTTTGGTGTGTAATTAGTAGTAGCGATCAACATACATATGCTCACCTTTTCGCAAACACCTAGTTATCATCACTATTTGATAATGATTGATAAACACATGCTCATGATATGGTCGAAGTCGTACAATTAACTAGCAGATATCTATTATGAAATTTTGGGGGAAAAATTTGTCACTTATATTTACAAGGGGGAAGGGGTGATGTGGTCCCGTACTCGAAGGTGCTAAAATCAGTTGTGCAAAGATGCGTCCTTTAGTCATGCCGGAAACGTATAAACGCCGGTTCAAATCCAGTTCGCCCTAATTATGTTTCGAGGTTTAACAGCACCATACCCGTGACAGTTTACGACCTGCATCACTTCTGGCTCAGTCAGTCAGTTAGAAGTTTCCTTAAGCCACACTAAAAACAAATTCACGGCAGCTTTGAGGTCATCGTTGTCGTCATACCGCTTTCCACGAAGGTGTTTTTTCAGTTGAGAAAAAGTGGAAATCACTTTGTGCCAGGTCTAGCGTGTGAGGAGCGTGAGAAAGCTCTTTGAATCCACACTGTCGAACAACAGCCTTTACAAGTCAAGAAGTGTGAGAAGAGGCATTGTCATGAAGTAGTAGAACTCCAGAGACAGAAATCCTCTCCGCTTTTCTTTGAGAGAATCTCTCAAGCGATGAATCAAATCGGCATAGTAGGCTCCGATAATTGTCTTTTAACTTTCTAAGTAATTAACAAGGATCATAACCTTTGCGTTCCAGAATACAGTGGCTATTCTTTTATCACTGATCATGAAGACTTGAACTTCTTTGTTGTCAGAGAAGTGGAATGGTGCCATTCAATTGATTAACGGTTTATCAAATAGGTAGACCCATGTTTCATCACTGTTACAAATATCTTTTTTGAATTTGATGATAGCTGTAAATTGTCTCTGGTAATGTCAGCCACACGATGGCGGAAGGTGTCCGGTAAACTACCATTCATACCTTTCTTTGCACCACTGTATCGTTGTGTGGTACATCATAACGAAATCTGTACATTTATGCGACAATTAACTGGTCCAACTGACAAATGCTACACACCCAGACACTCTCAGCTCAACCCTACTAAGAGGTCATCTCTCCCTATGCCAGCCGTAACACAAAACTAACTGCCCCACTAGTCACACGATTACATCACAATCTGTACATACAATGTACATACACAACAAAGAATGTAACTATTGCAAAGATTCCTGCAAACCTCGAGCGTCAAACGAAACAGGAATTGATACTGTTTGGAATACAAAGGGAGATAACTTCGTAATGACATAATATATAGGACACAAGAACATATGGTCAGAATATAACTCTACAAATTAAATGACAAGGCAGACTCTAAACAAATGTGCGGACTCCGATGGTCCGATTGATTGCCGCGAAAGGTGATATCATCGACATTATGTTTGGAATTGTCTTCTTTCATACATAGTAGTTGGAACTATATTGTCTGTTGTTACTATCCGACTGACTAAGTCCTTCCAGGAAAACTTGCAATGTTTAGCAACTGGTTAAGACAATGAAATTTAAGAATAACATTATATCATAAAGAGGCTAGATCCTGCTGGGCATAAACACGTTGTGTATATTTAGCTCACCAAGGCTCGTTTATTATGTTTGTTCATAATACATGATACTTTCCATTCGGAAAAACAACAACACCGTACCTCTATACATCATGGGTAATGTGGTAACCCAGCCGGCAAAACCCTTGAGCGGTTGCTTCAATGGCCCACTCTAGATCTAATCCCAAAGTGGGGACAATGTGCACATGATGGCGGGGATTGGATTTCAATACCTATTGGTCGATGGATGAGGATCCATAACGATCCAAATCTTGTTGGAACACGTGTCCGAAACAAAACAGTAAACCAATTCATATTCCTGTTTCAGAGTAGCATGGACTGTGTTGCTTTTGACAATGACGGGAATATGTCTGAAAACGTTGGCTGATCTTTACAGTAGGTACTACAGCTACAACTTTATCACTGAGATTACAAGAGAGCGCAAACAACAGATCAGGTTTCCTGCAATCACTATGTGCAACCTGAACAGGTTTGACATAAGCCAACAGAACCTTACTGACACAGAGCTGAAGTACCTTCGCCTGAAAGGGGACCTACGTAATTTGTTTCAGTCTATTGACTGGGAAGGGGAGGAAGGGAGAGAACTAGAGAAGATAGATAATGTCAAATTTTGGGAAGGTGGAGCATACAAAGAGGAAGAAATGTTCAAGTACGTATCTTTCAAAAACATCAACGTCCCCCCAGAAGACCTGAAATACAACCAAAAACAAGATCAACGCTGCTTCACCTTCAGCGCTAACGCCGACAGAGATACTTTAGAGTCTGAAGATACACAATTGAATGTCGTTGTTAACATCATGCAAGAAACCTATCTAGAGGGAACAGTATACGAGGCGGGGGTAAAGGTAAATATAATAAAAGCACAAAAAAGTGTCGAGAGGTTCCAAGGCAAATGACAATATATGATAGCTGTACATAATATAATACGTATAGTGTAGTATAACAATCTCTTATATTTCCCCGACCAGCATTTAAGCATTACTCCATATATCCTAACACCAGACAATTTTACCTTTCTGAATGTGACAAAATGGATAAGATGGTGAGACTTGGTTACTTAGTTGATAGCAACTCCACGTACCTAGACGTCGTGGATCGTTGCTCATAATACAAATCACTGGTTTGACTGGTCCAGACTCGATCATTTTCAGGTCATATAACTGTCATATTGCTGAGTGCTGTGTTAAACAACTAACCAAACAAAATTCTAACTCAGCACAGAATCTTTCTAGACGGCTATGTTGTTAAAATAAGAAGCTATGGAAGCATATAGGAATAAAATACATAGTGGGTTTTCAAGGAAGCACCGACTCATTAACTTGGAATCCTTTGCCACATGTAATCTCCGTTTTGTTGAATCAGGTATATATTGATGAACCAGATACAGCTCCGAGCTACAGTGATGATGCAATGACGGGTGTATCAGTCGGGACGACGACACGCATAAAGCTGACCAAGAAGGAGGTACGTTTGTCAAGAACAAAATATATACCGAAAGGATTTGATAATTCAGTTACGTTTTGTCAATGTATATTTTTATAGTTCCAATACAAGGATAAAGCAAATGCAAAAAGTGTTGAAGTAATAAGTATATTTCACTTTTTGATGAAGACCTTTGGCTCCAGTGAGTGACCTTTGGCTCCAGGAATCCCTGAACCAAACTTTTAACAAGAAGACAAAGTCACCGATATGTCCCGCAATGTTAAGTGTTAATACTTGTTGTGAATAAATATATGAAACTTGGTGCCATGGACAAATGAAAATGTTCTTTTCAAAAATTCCAAACTATCAGAAGGCACCAGTTCACCACTCGACCTACCTGTGATTAAATATTGAACGGTATTCAAGATCTGCTCCGGAAACGACTTCTTGCACGGGCGCACGGACGCACAGTCTGACGGTGTCCATTTTTATACTCCTCGTAAAACGGGTTCTTGGGTTAAAATGGTCAACTTACATTTGTATATCCAAACAACAAATAGTAGCGCCCTGGGGATTCCCAGTTCGAACTGGTTCAAAGCAACAGATGGTTTTCAACCAAATGGATAGATGGTCAGGTTCGGTGACTTGGTTGATGGCGTATCAACGTTCCCAGACGGATCGACCTTTGCTCATACTACCAATCGCTGGTTTGTCTGGTCGACGTTTTTACAGGCCGCTGTCGTATCACTGTAAAATTGCTTAGTGTGACTTCAATCAACATACAAACGAAAGAAAACAATCAAGAGGAATACTGGACAATGTTTATCCCCGCAGTCAGCAATGCGAGAGCTATCTATGCACGGTCTGTGAACAACAGACTCTGGGATTCACCAGGCAAACGTCTGATTAAAAACACTAGAAACAATCCACGTCACGGAGGTTGAGTGGATTGTGCAAGGTCCATAGAGCTAGAAATAAACACATTTCTAGACCCCTTTGTATGGTGCTGATTCCATATACTCAGATACATGTGCTGGATCCTGAGGTATATATATATATATGGTCGGCTTTTGAACAAACACGATATAACAACAAACACTGTACTTTTAATTTTACCACCACATTATATTCTCAATAATCCATCGTTATAAAGCATTCAATGACGGGCATTTGGTGAAAATACCCAACAAGTGTATTGAACTGAAAAATCTTGGAAACCAAGACGAGACAATCGAACCTACGATTATGTTTCTGGTACGACTTGAGGCGCTTTAGACGGATGGGCCACATGTGCCGCAGACAAACAACACGTCCAACATTGTCAGTTACGCTTATCCATCAATTGACATTTTGTATGTGATGCCAAATGCAAAGTGGGAGAATACCCGATAACACTGCTATATGCCCATAGATGAAGTACCTTCCAACCCCCTATAATTCCCGTGGAACGGATTGTCTGGACACTAAAGCCTCGGACTTTGTCAACTCCCTTGATTGGTTCAAGCACTACAGCTTTGATGGGTGTCTTCATGAGTGCTCCAATAAGGCTGCCATGAATGCCTGTAACTGCACAGCTGGATGGGAACCTCAACTAGGTTTTTGTTCTTTTCTCTTTTAACAGCAATGAACATGTTACATCCAGCGATACCAAATACACCTTTTCTATATTTTGGAATGCCCCTCTTGTATCATATGATATAAACAACACAGTTTCTGTTCATTGGGGCATTTTTTTTAATTGCTTGATTGTTTGATGGGAATCTCTTCAAGCTATCAATGTACATTTGTTGTTCTGTTTTTAACAATGGCAACAGACTTATAACATCATACAATACAGATTCCACAGTCTCTGTCATTTTCAGATATTTTTGAAACTGTTGCATTTGAACACATTTGAATGACTGAATTTCGGCTTATTCATAGTAGTAGAAGTTTTTACTGACTGATATATTTTCCAGCGAGGGTCAGTCTGCGGCACTGCTCTGTGAAGGAGTTGCAGACATGTTACCGTCCCAAAAGCAGTAAGATCATTTCCATTGCACTGACATTACTTAAGAATTGACCTTAACTTCGTTTGTGTTCATTGGAGTATGAACATTCATAGAGTGAGGCAAAACTGTATGAACGGAGGAGAATTAATATATCACCTGTATTTACCTCGACGTTTGTAAGGAAGAGAATTTATGGATGTCAACTTCTTTATAATGAGGAACACAAAGCTGTATCGCGGAATGAAGTACGTAGTTCTTCTAAAAGAGCGGTGAAATGATCATATATATATGCTCACTCTGTAGTACAGTGACACCATTGTAGTTTGTTTACAACTAATTAAAATAATATGATCTTCTTCGATGGGAATGGTCTATTCAAAACTACCTCAGTAACTCAGCCACAATCACAATGACATTACGTCGTTACACATTGACATCATGTATAAGACATCAAAATGGAAGACACGTTAACTGTTATGGGAGATATTTCCGAAGTTTTTAATGAACCTGTGGCAGTTACAAGTATTAACTGTCATTGATCAATAGGCCGATCATTGAAAGGTGATTATAAAAATGTGTCAAATGGATACTAAGGTAAATCGCGAGTTCGGATTATAAGTGCAGAAACAACTGTTTTTTGTGTATTTGTGCTTTGGATCCAAGGGGTTTCTCAGAGAATGTGGAAGTAGTCCATCAGTGTTTGTGTCATTTCCAGAAATTCAATAAAGTCTCATGAAAAACGTATGAACATCACTATGTCCTCCATACGCTTATGAACGTCAGCTTCGCGGTCATGTGACCTGCCTATCGTCCAATGGAAAAATCGTATATCGTCTAAACTTCACATTAAAAAATTAAGTTCCTTTGTATTTTTGACAGGCATTACTTAGAAGTTGACGGATGACAATGCAAGCTTGCTTGACAACGGTATAAGGATCTATACAGAAACGTCATCTTTACAGTATTATAGAAGTTGTTATCCATAAATTGTGTCTACTTTGTATTGTGTTGAAATGTTCATGGCACAGGTACATCCTGAAAAACCGGTGGCACCGACACAAACAGATGCATAGGCTGCTCCTTTTAACAAAAACATTCTGAAACTTACTCTTAAAACGTTTTGGGGTACGAAAAGGTGTTGGTACAGCAAAGTGTCCTTGTAATTAGTGCAGTTTGTATGTAGATTCCAGTATGCTAAAATGAAGGCTAGCTGCTGAATGTAAATAGAATATGAACTGGCGACCACGTGCCAAGAGCAAGCTTGCCTGTGTCATGATCTGCCCTTGTCTAATGTGTAACACGTGGTGACCACTAAAGTCAATGTAAACTTACATAATGAAGGTAAGATATAGCTTACTTGGACCATATAACTAAAGACCATATTTTTTTGCTCCTGCAAAGTTCTCTATGTTTAGATCAAGTACAATCGGAAGCCAGAAGCGGGAAGAGTTGTTTATGCCAGTACCCATGTGAGGAGACATCGTATGATATACAAGTGTCATCCATGACAATGCCGCAAAACGCCACAACCATCGCTTCTTATGTGGATTCTACAACTGATATGTTAAGGTTAGAACGGATCTGGAGCTATTTGATATTTCTTTGAAAGTATTTATCACGATGCACATACATAATTCATAGTACAGAAAATAAGCATAGAAACGTTTTATGATAATAATAATAATAACAATAACAATAACAATAACAATAATTATAATAATACCACTCGAAACCGTCAATGTGTGATTTTGCATCAAAATGTAAATATGAAAAGTAGATTATGTAATGAATCTAATGAGACTGTCCAACACATTGTTAGTGGATGCCCAGCTTTGGCATAAACGCGATATCATAAGCGACATTGTGGAGTGGCTCGATCATTTTATTACTGTCGTCGCCATGCTTGTGGTTTTGACACAGAGGTCCATCCATGGTACGACCCGGAATATGAAGGGGGCATCATGGAAAATGATGAATACAAAATTCTTTGGAATAGGCCCGTTTACAGCCTCAGACGTATCCAGGCTAACAAACCTGATCTTGTCCTTTTTGATAAATCCAATGAATAATTTATATCATTGAATTTTCCGTCCCTTTTGACATTAATGTGATTGACAAGATTCGGGAAAAACATGGCAAATATGCGGACCTCGCTTTCGAAATGTCACGCTTGCATCCCAAGTACCGAGTCGTCCGACTCCCCATTGTTCTCGGTGCCTTAAGTTTGGTACCTCCCAATCTGTAGACTGACATTGGGAGAGCACCCGGGTTTGCTATCAGGAATACAGCCCTTTTGACAATCTTGGTAATGCAGAAGGCTGCAGTGTTGGGGAGTCATCACATTCTCATAAATGTTCTGGGTGGGTTTGACTATGGAAGAAGGGAGAAGTCCCATTCGCTGTCTGAGCTGCGTGAAGAGGGGGCAAGGGCCCTGAGCTGATGATGAGCCAAACAAGCCTGACTTTGCCAGGATCACCCAAACCCCCTTTGCTGCATTGTTTTAATTCTTATCTGTACATAATAATAATAATTATATAAAGCGACAAAGCCCTTTCCATATCCAATAGAAATATCTGCATAAAGCAGAGTCGGTTGTACAATTCCGACTATATCATGAGAATTAGTTTATGAATCACCATCAAATAGTTATGATACCAGGCGTTCGCGAATAGGTTAGCGTATCCTGCCCCACTGGTGGCACATCACAAACACATGCAAGTCAATTGTTCACCTGAAAAAACATGAGAACATGTAGTACAAGTCAAAATAGGGAATAACTCTTTTTATCTCATTGTAACCCTGTGAGAGGTAGTACTTTCATGTGAGACCTTCTCAGAGGTTTTACATTTAAACTGTAAGACCTAGGTTTTACATTTTTACATTGAAGTTTTATCAACTGGCCTTTTGAAATTTCCCTCGCTCGCGGTTTTACATTTTCAAACAAAAGTCTTGTTTTATCATTAGCTTCAACAATTACGACTGCATTCATTGAAACAGAACATAACTCGACTGAAACAGAACATAACTCGACTGTATAGGTTTGCACAGTACATTCAACATTTGAGCAGGTATTATTGAACAATTCTTTACTTATGTTCGATTGTTTTATCCTCCAGACATAATTACCTGATTCTACAGATCAAAGTAGCCAGCATGGTAGTTGAAAGGACAGAGCACACGCCAGAATTGGAGCTGAATGATATATTTGGTCTGTATAAAACTTTCGTTATGTTGCTTATTTCAATACATCACATGGGAAAGGGTGGCCATGATCGCTGAGGTGCCACAATTCGCTGTGTAGAAACGGCGTGCCCTAGCTATGAGTATAGCATAGGAGTTAGAATCATGCTCTTTACTTACCAAAACTAATTACTTTCATCTTTCCTCTGACATCACACTAACATGCTGTATAATAACTGTTCAAAACGGCGTAAACGCCAACTCATTCACTGACTCAGTATATGTTAGAAAAAGCTATTCAAGCATGGATATCTCCTAGCATTAACCAAAATATTGTATGATCATGTATGACAAGAGACCATAGATACTTCCATGAAATTATGTCAGAAAAGAAACTGGTCTCATGTTTTTCCAAAATACAAGAATAGTTCACTGGACATACTGCCAAAATGTGTTGTGGGCAATTGCATTTACTTTCTCTTCCTTTCGGAGAAGAAACTTAACTGTCTTGAAGCACTGTCATAATAAATATTCTGTCTGTGACAAAAGTCTAAATGTATACCTTCACATGCTTGAAACAATTCTCTCTCTAGTTTGAGGAAAAAGATATGGTATATAAGTCGTATATCCTTTAGAAATGGAATGTGATTGATACACTGTAGGCATAATAAACTTAGTTAACTTTATAATATTTATAATCACTACCAAAGTTCTCATTATAGGTGGTAGTTCTATATGTGAAAGTTGAGGGTGAACATTTATGATAATGCAGCAATTAAAAGACACTAAGCATACTCAAAACGCACACTTTATGTCAACCTGGCTTAATATTGTATACCTTTGCAGCCAGTATTGGTGGTCAGATTGGACTGTTTCTTGGGGCCAGTATCCTCACCATCACAGAACTGCTGGAACTGTTGATAACATGTGTGCTTGCAAGCCTGAAGTCGCTGTGGGCCAGACATAAACTTCAGGGTTGAGGAATACAATGAACCTCGGTAATCAACATACTTCTTCCACCGAATTTTGATAATCCTATTCCAAATAATGTATTAATGAAATGTTCTCAACTGTAATTGTTTCATACGTGTTCTCCACTCCCTCATTTGACAATCGTGAAACATTCCAGGGACATATCACTCTCTAGATTTCCATTTCCTTCAAAATGATTGACAGTTATGAGTGTTATAAGCAGTGATACAATATATTTTGCTGCTTGTCTTTGTTCCAGATTGCTCACGTATCGAGAAAGCTGACGTTTGTTCTCGGAAATTCTGTAGTCAACTGAATAGTGGATGAAAAGTGGTTATAACCCTGGTTCCATTGAATAAATATGCCATTCTTAAAAAGCGACAAGGCATTTTTTGTGGTTACTGTGTCTTCAATAAGTACAATAAATATGGACTATAAGGTATAAGAGACACACAAGGGTGGTAAAATATATTTCAAACTGCTGTACATATCTTATGCATCAGTTACCAAACTAATGTCCCGTTGGGCTTTCAGAATAAATAACCACTCGTGTTCTTATTGTATCTAACATACGTTCTTCAAGTGCAAACTCTGAACCACACCATGATGATAGTAGTACGCATGTTAGTGGACATGCCAATCCGTAACAACGGATTAAAGTCTGTTAACAAACACACTTAATAGCATTGACTTCCTGCTTGGGGTGGAAGATTCCCGATCGAAGATTGCATACTATGACATCCGCACCTACCTATAAAAGCTTACTGCTAAAGATACTCTGGGAGTCACTCCCAAGATGAAGATTGGCCTGTCCTATTGTCGGTCCCCGACGCTTGATAAAAGGCTTGAGTTGATGTCAAGCTGCTGAAGCTGGTGACACACCAGGTGGCTTCAGCTGATGTCTGTGAAACCTATTTAGTTTGATGATATTGTATACCTGTTGGATTTAATACCCTCTGTGATCAGGGCAGTCGTATTTTAGTACTGACTAGCTTACTATCAGCGTTTGTAACTTCTGCCCATTCACCTGTTAGATCGTTCACCAAGTGTCTGCATAATTTAAATATCAGTGCTTCAGCCTGGTTTATTGCCTGGTGTTATTAAATCCTTAAACTTCAATCTTTGTAAATTCGCCTTAATGTTATCGGTCTATATCTACATGTGGGTACATTGGGATGCCAGGAAGGATAGGTGTCATGCTACAGTTTAACACACAGTATCCAAATATGATACCAGCTGGTTATACATGTGTGACCTGGTTCATTGTGACATAGCTGGAAAAATGCGGATATTAAACAGTGAGGAGGTATTTGTCCCATTACATCTATTCCAGTGACCTGACAAATCTGATATCTTTCTCTTAAAAGAATACTGTCAAAGTAGTTCCGACAAAATGTGTTTTTTCTCTCGAGTTGATTTTGATTTCATATTTTTCCGAGTAATACATTTTATCATATAATGGGTAGGTTTCTCGGTAGAATAAAGCCAACGGGTAAAAACGATATCCGTATGGGTCATATGCGGATAGAGATGTAAATATCAAAGATCAAGTAGGGACTACTTTCACTGTTTATAAACAAACATGGCGTCGCCATCGTCATTCGCCGATCGAGTCAGAATTAACCATCGGGGATATGGATAAACTACAGTGAAAATTGTTATCATTATCAAAAGAACAGTCTTATATACTCAAAATCAGTGTCTGATGTAGCTAAGGCATTTTATAAGTTTTGGCAACTTTGGAGATATACATTTCGAAACAATTTTGCGAGGGCACGAGGCCTAGCCAAGCGGGATCAGTAACCATATCTGTAGCCATATCTTGTAGACCTCTGCGGCTTGAAACCCTCTCCACAAATAAATGGATTTGGCCGAAATATGTTTGAATTGTTACCTTGTTTCGTTTTGTCGCTGTGAGTACATCTGACTTCACTTCTTAACGTTATGACAGGACAGACCGACTGTCAACACCGTTTGACCGTGGCCGTGACGTCTCAAAGACTAGGGTAAGAGTAGTTTCCATTTGACAAAGGGCAGTTACTCTGGTGGACAGACAGATGGATTGCCGCGAAAGGGAATTAAAAACAATTGTTGTTTTCGTATATGTTGCAAAACTCGCCTAGGCTCGCTAAAATACAATGTTTATTCCTAATGCACGATATTTACCATCCCCAAACACACTCGCGTGATAACCTCTCTATATATGATGACGTCGTAAGAAAGAGATCAGTCAGAGGGGTAAGACACATTACATGTTTTTTGTTGTCAACAATCGCTTAACAAGTTGATGAGGTTCAGAAAACTACAATAAACAATAGCTTTCTGTAAATTCAGAAACATTTACCAAATTTCCTAGTATTTAAAACATTCGAATTACATCCAAATGAAGCAATAAATACATTGAAATTATGCAAAATTACCAAGCACACATTTGCAAATATAATGTAACAGTTGTGTGAAATATCTAAACAATTTTGTAAAGTAAATATTTTGGCATATATACAATTTCAGGGTGTTCAGAAATAAACATAAAAGCTAACAATGAAAGGGAAGGATACTCACATGTGTCTTTACATAGTTCAAATGCTTAGTTCAGAGTGCTGTGGTTTGTGGCTGTTTCGGATTGTCTAGTTCATAGCCTGATGGGATTATGATCTTCTTGACCACGGCCATGTTGCTGTTGTTGTTCTTTGCCTTTCTGAAACTGATATTTTCATAAAATATCGGTGGTACATGAGTACAAAGGGAATATTACGGTATACACAAACGGATATAATTGTTTGGAATATGACCTTCAATAAAGTGATGATTAGACCTATACAATTGTAGCACTAATTCAGTGTATCGTCAAGGTCAGTATGACAGACACATATAAAACATGCAAGTTTGCTTTTTGAATCATTTGTGAGTAACATTTGATGACAGTGAATGATGCCGAAATAAGGTATCAAACACAACATTTTGCCTAACAATTGTTCAATTTTAGAGCTGTAATAACAACTCCATCCCACGCACAACCGAGCAGCATCCTCACCTGACACAGGTCCTGGTGTACATGCTCATCGTCTCAGTCGCCTCGAGGTTCTGATGGATGTCAAAGTACAGCTCCGGCTACCGGGTTCTCAACCCTGAAGAACGATGCAATCTGTGCCCAGTCTACACATCCACCACTCCAACTTGTTTGCTATAACAGCTGCAAGTCTAAATACATGTATGTTAAAACGTTAACAACAGAGAATAACAAATCGATTATAGATTATATATATACAATTATATCAATGAATCACTGAAAATCAGCGATGACACCGGGTGTTCGCGAAAAGGGGAAGCATAACTGTATTTAAATTTGTGTGTGTGTGTGTGTGTGTGTGTGTGTGTGTGTGTGTGTGTGTGTGTGTGTGTGTGTGTGTGTGTGTGTGTTTGTGTGTGTGTGTGTGTGTGTGTGTGTGTGTGTGTTCATATAATTATAGTGTAAATGTGCCAAAAGTTTTCATCGGTGATGTCGAGCTCACAATGCACAATAAGTTGAATCAATTGTAATTATATGCTAGGTCCTTTATTTCGTATGACGAGTCTGGCGTCGTATTAGTGCGCATCCTCTTTGTCCTTAATTCCATGTCAGGATTAACACCCAGCGATATGGTCATGTGTAAGTATATACATGTGCCAGTTACGCGGAACGTAGCACACAAAAGAAATATGAAATACATTTTTATTTATTTAATGTGTGCGTGTGTTGTTGTTGGTGGTGGTGGGGAGGGGAGGTTTTGGGGGTCATGCGTAGATGCAGATTCCGTCGTTTGTCGGCAATATATCTGTGGTCAGAGGTTTTCCATCCCACGGTCACCTTGATATTTTCCTGAAGCTGAAGTCTTACGCTGAAGTGTAAATTCCAAACTGTTAAACACATTATAACTGAAAAATATGGATCTAACCTTTTTCGTCGCTCTTTCCACGATACTCCCCTGCTGGTTCCTAAATAGAACAGGTCCCCGGTTGGCCATAGTGATCGTAAGAGGCGACCTAGTGGATCACGTACGGTGATGTGATTGACTTGCGTATCATCGTATTCCGACGGCGTGTGTCGTTGCTCATAAACAAATCACTGGTGTATCTGGTCCAGACCCGATTATTAACTGAAAAAAATATATAAAGAAAAAGTTAATTAATCATTCATTTTCTTTATATTTCTAGACATCATGTGAACTTATCCCTTGAACTTTTAAATTATTTTCGATCCCAATATTTGATACCTGATAGTAGAATGTATTTGATTATTGTTCATTTGGGATTTTATTCATTGCACCATTTGTTTCCCTGCAGCCAGAGTTGGATGGGAGATAGGGCTGTTCCTTTGGGCCGGAATTCTCACCCTTGTCGAACAAATGGAGCTAGTGACTGCATGTGTGCAAGCAGGTTCACGTCGCTCTGGGCAAGACGTTGACCTCGGATCTAGGAAGTAATAGGTTCTCCACCAAACCCACATATTTCGTAGAGTTGATATTTGCTTTTGTGAAGCTGTTTACGGCACTGCACCAGGTACAATGATAATCATTTATCAGTCAGATACAGGGCCTATCCAAAGCGGGTATTTCAGCTTCACAATGGTGTGAGGATATGTTGGTTAACGTAATTAGCGTAAATAGCAAATCACTGAGGCTTGAAACAATCAAGTTTAGGCCAGGTAATCCAGTGGACAACACGAGGAAGGATTCACGCCGTCAGGACCAAATCAAGTAGGTCCCACATTTCACCAACCTGACCATCATCTTCGTCAGCTCTGACGGCAAGCTGCGACTGCTTGTGACCAATTCTGAATTGCGTTTACAGTAAACTACGTTTATAACGAACACGCCCATAACGAATTGAACGATATATCGAACTTATTTCCGGACATTTGTTGTATATATGTTGTATGTATGCTTATGTCGAACTACGGCTATTACGAACTAAAATTAGAGGTCCCTTTGAGTTATAACCGTAGTTGACTGTGTATGTTTTATAAAATGTGATACCTTAACAGGGGGAAGCTTCACTTTCAACATTATCAACATTGTTCGGTGCACAGGCTATTTTGAATGTGTCCTCTGAAGAAAAACAGTGAGTGAGTAAAATTTTACGCCGCTTTTAGCAATATTCCAGCATTATCACGGCGGGGGACACCAGAAATGGGCTTCACGCATTGCACCCAATTGGAAAATCGAACCCGGACCTTCGGTGTGACGAGGGAACGCTTTAACCACAAGTCTATCCCACCGCCCGGAATAAGCGCAGTATACAACAAAGGTAGTAAGGAATACATTGTGTGTGTGTCGTTATATCTATGTACATGTT